AGAACAGCGCTGTCCAACATCACAGTGGAAACTTACAACGACTGGGGAACTTGTATAGCAACATCCTGCGTACGTGCTCCTGCTTACTTCTGTGTCTAACTGATCTATTCAAACTTTTATACCTTGTCTCAAAATCTGTGAATTCTCATTATACCTCCTGAACTTGAAATTTTGCTCATAGTTGTGTCATTTTAAAATAATTGGAAATGGTTCTGTTTAGTCTTTCTTTTTCTTTTTCTTTTTCTTTTTTACAGAGAGGAAGGGAGAGGTATAGAGAGTTAGAAACATTGATGGGAGAGAAACATAGATCAGCTGCCTCCTGCACACCTCCTACTGGGAATGTGCCTGCAACCAAGGTACATGCCCTTGACCAGAATCGAACCTGGGACCTTTCAGTCCGCAGGCTGACGCTCTATCCACTGAGCCAAACCGGTCAGGGCTGTTTAGTTTTTCAAATAAGCCTTGAGTGGTAACCTTAAGAGATTATTATATCCTCTCCGCCATAGTAATACATTGTTTTAGAACAGATGACAAGTCAAATAAACTTACATGTAGTAAGAGCCAGATGATGCAAGGTTATCGGTGTTGTTTTTAACACTAAATATGTCCATAACGTGTATACTCTGATTTGAAGAAAATCCATTTAGCTAACAATTTTCTCACTGCTTATCTTTTTAACATGAGCTATGATAACATGTTTGGATTTGACTCACTTGTGACTTTTAATCTGATTTTCTTCCTCTATCCTTATATTTATAAATAAGATATATATTTATATTTATAAAATAAAAGGATCTGACTCATTCACAGCATTGTAGGACTCCTGTTTTAATCATTACTTTGTATTTCAACACAGGAAAGCAGAGATCCCCGGAAACTTCATTGGCTTTTTGAGCTGCTGTTGGAATCACCATTGAGTGGTGAAGGTGGCTCCTTTGTAGATGCATGGTAACAGGCATCTCTTGCTTGAAGAGTGAAGCCTTTTGTCACAGCCTGATATATGAGTCATTCATCATTAAGCACTTAGAGTGCTAACATAATCCCAAATTAACGTTAACTATGCTGCAATGAGTTGATCTGCCCTTAATCGTGCTAAAAAAAAAAAAAAAAAAAAAAAAAAAAAAAAAATTACACAGTTAAGAAAAGATAGCATGTTTGTGCTTGATGTATGAATGGAAATGAGCTGCCTACACTCATTAAGGCTAGATAATGTAATTAGAGTTAACCCTTGAACAACATTGGTTCAGACTGTGCTGGTCCACTTTTATGCAGGCCCCCTCCCCCCCCAGTAGGTATACAGTTAGTCCTCTATATCCCAGCTTTCACATCCAAGGGGTTAACCAACCTTGGATGGAAAATACTGTTAGGAATTCTTGGATGGAGAAGGCCGGCTTTTTTTATTGCCAGCTGTATGCATTGTTCTATGCCATTTTATATAGGGGACTTGAACATCTGAAGATTTTGGCATCCACAAGAGGGTACTACAACCAGTCCCCCTAAAGATACTGAGGGACAACTAAAATTTGGGGGAAGTCTAAAGTTATATGGGGATTTTTTGACTCTTCAGGAGTTGGCGCCCCTACTCCCCGTGTTGTTCAAGGGTCAGCTATAAATCTTCTATGAGATACATTATCCATTCCGTACAACATGATACTAAGTACAGTTATTTCTCAGTAAGGACAAGTAAGAGAAATGGAAGCAACCTGAGCAATTCCAATATAAGTTAGATTCAGCCTTCGCCATTGTCAAGTCTTTTATATCAGGACCGCCTTTGGTGCCGTAACAGTAGTAGCTTCTTTCTCATAGCTTCTCATTGTTCACTCTTTCCTATGAGGAAAGAAGAGTAATCTTATAAGGGAAAATATACTTGGTGGTGTATAAGGAGCTGAGAACAAACTAGTGGATAAGAGAGAGAAATAGAGATAATCCTGTTAACAAGAAGAACAATTGATTATTTTTCTTAATTAGTAGGGAAAATTCTGATGCTTAGAGATTAACTCAAATAGTATTCTGAAATCATTATTTCTTTTGATTGTAGTAGTGGAGATGACAAGAGAATACAGAGAAAATTATGCAGGAAATACAATAAAATCTCCATAAAGATGCTGTTTTGAATTTGGAGAAATGGCCTATTCAAGTCTTTTGCCCATTTTTGAATTAGGTTTTGTGGTTGTTGCTGAGAAAGTGAAACAATTTTCAGTGAAACACAGGTCATTAATCTATACCATCAGTATGTAAAGACTCTAACACAACTCTCCTGTGTTTTCATTTTAGTCGGCTCTATGTACTGCAAGGTGGCCTTGCCCAGCAAGAGTGGAGAGTGCCTGAGCTATTGCACAGACTATTGAAGTACTTGGAACCCAAACTCACCCAGGTTTACAAAAATGTCAGGGAAAGAATAGGGAGGTAGGTATTATTTTCTCTGTGGTATGGTATACTTCTTGAGCTCTTTTTATTCAATTTTAATATCTAGGAATGTATACTGGTTATGTTACTATTGAGTTTCATAGTATGCTCTTCTTCAGATTTTGTTTTATATGGTGGTGTACACACTAGACAAGAGGCTCTGAATGTAAAATAAGGTGGCAGTGGGCTCACCAAGCCAGAGATGAACAGTCAGCATGCCCCGTGTTTATTACCTCAGAGTTGCAGGCACAGCACAAGAGACCTTCTCTAGGAATTGTCTTGGTTGGGTTATAGCTTTTGAGCCCTAGTTTTATTGAGAATGTGGGATCTCTTCTTACGGTGCCTATTTCATTTTATAGTGTGCTGACCTACATATTCATGATAGATGTTTCTTTGCCAAACACCGCGCCAACAGCATCCCCTCGTGTTCCTGAGTTTACTGCTCGAATTTTAGAGAAATTGAAACCCCTCATGGATGTAGATGAAGAAATTCAGAACCATGTCATGGAAGAAAATGGAATTGGTGAAGAAGATGAACGAACTCAGGGCATTAAACTCTTAAAAACTAGTAAGTGGCTAAAATTAGTAGATACTCACTTAAAAACAGACATTTATATTTTCCTAGGGCTTTTTTCACCCTTTTTATTGTGGTAAAATGTACATAACATAAAAGGTACAGTGGCATCAAATACATTCACAATGTTGTGCAACCATCACCATCATCTGTCTATCTTTACTACTCTTTTCATCTTGTAAAATTGAAACTGTACCCATTGAGCAATAACTCCTCATTCTCCCCTTGCCCAGCCCCTGGCACCCACCATTCTACTTTCTGTAAGGTTGGCTAGTCTAGGTGCCTCATATAAGTAGAATCATACATGTTTGCTTTTTTTATTTTGCATAGTGTTTTTAATGTTTATTCATCTGTTGATGGACATTAGGTTATTTATCTCTCGTGCTATCGTGAATAATACTGCTATGAGTATGGGTGTGGAAGTATCTGAATCTTTGCTTTCATTTCTTGTGGGTATTGAAAATGAATTGCTGTGCCATATGGTAATTCTGTGTTTAACTCTGGGGAGGCACCAAGCTATTTTTCATGGAGGCTGCACCATTTTACATAACAGCAGTACAGAAAGGTTCAATTTCTTTCACATCCAGAAAACACTTGTTTTCTGTTTTTATGACTATAGCTGTCCTAATTGGTGTAAAGAAGATATCTCGTGGTTTTGATTTGCATTTCCCTAATGATTAGTTGTTGAACATCTTTTCATTTGCTTAGTTGTCATTTTTGTATCTTCTTTGGAAAAATGCCTATTCAAGTCTTTTTCCCGTTTTTTAATTAGTTTTTGTTGTTGAGTTGTAGTTCTTTAAATGTTCTGGATATCAATCAAATATATCATTGCCATATCCAACGTCATGAAGTTTTCCCTTAGATTTTCTTCTAAGAGTTTTATAGTTTTATCCCTTACATTTAAGGTATAAGATATAAGCTTCATTCTTTTTGCTCATGGATATGCATTTTGTCAGAACCATTTGTTGAAAAGACTGTTATTTCTCCGTTGAATAGTCTTGGTACTCTTGAAAATGAATTGGCCAAATGTGTGAAGGTTTCTTTCTAGGCTCTCTAGTCTATTTCATTGGTTTATATGTCGGTCCTGATGTCAGCACCATACTGTTTGGATTACTGTAGCTTTGTAGTAGTAGGTTTTGAAATCTGGAAGAGTGAGTCCTCCAACTTAGTTCTTTTTTTTTTTTTTTAAATATATTTTTATTGATTTCAGAGAGGAAGGGAGAGGGAGCGAGAGATAGAAACATCAATGATGAAAGTCATTGATCTGCTGCCTCCTACATGCCTCCCCACCCTCCACTGTTGATCAATCCTGCAACCTGGGAATGTGCCCTGACTGGGAATTGAACTGTGTCCTCCTGATTGATAGGTTGACACTCAACCACTGAGCCAACCTAGCTGGGCCTTTCCCCCCCACCCCTCCCTAATTATCTTTGTTATTGGTGGTGTCCTATTGTCCTGATACCTTAAAATTTTTCAAGGATTCTGAATATAAACAACTAACTTAGTTGTTTTTGCTACATTGGGATTATTTTTTGTTTGTTAATCCTCACCTGAGGGTATTTTTTCTATTGATTCTTAGAGAGAGTGGAAGGGAGGGGGAGAGACATAGAGAGAGAAACATCGATGTGAAAGAGACACATCGATTGGTTGCCTCCAGCACGCACCCCAACTGGCACTGGGGATCGAGCCTGCAACCGAGGGACGTGCCCTTGACCAGAACTGAACCCATGACCCTTCAGTCCGAGGGCTGCCACTCTAATCACTGAGCAAAACCAGCTAGGGCTACATTGGAATTATTGAAGGCTAATTTTAATTTGTATTTAGCATAGTTATTTGGTAGACTTGTTAATAATTTGCTGATTCATTCTTTGAGCGTGGCTTTAGTACTCCATAGATTAGTTGATCCCCCCTTTATTGTGAGTCCTGTCATACTGCTGGTCAGTGTCTAATTTAAGAAGTAATATAAACAATCTGTTTAGTAACATTGAAGCACTGTCAAAGTGGTGGCACTAGCACCACAATACTATTCTACTTGGTGGTCTCTAATTGGATAGCGAAGACTGATTCTGCGTATCCATTTCCAAATAGTATTGAAATGGCTGATGGCGAGTGCAGGAAGATCCTTCTCTACAGCAGTCACAGAACAACTTCAGCTTTTACCTTTGTTTTTTAAGGTAAGTTAATGGCTAAAATTAGGAATGCATCCCCTTTTGACGTTCAAAGGGAATTTATACTTATCATCTGACGGTTGATAGTTTTCATACTGTGTATGATTTGGTTGTATCTTCAAAAATAGAATAGTCACAGAAAAATCATTAATTGATAGTGGTTTTATATTTGTTGAAATAATCTTTTAAATATTAGGTAAGATGAAACATTGTTTCACTAATAGTCAATTTCTAAGTAATAGTTTAGGAAAATACTGATAGTTAAAAAGAAAAGCCACAATGAAATTTTTGAATATAGCTCTTTCTGACTTTTTAATACTTAATATATAACGAATCTGAAGATCAAAATGTTCAGTATACTGCATTTATTTTACAGTGATAAATGACATTATAATTGGTTGTAACAAATATCTACAGGAAGTAACTTATATCTGGTATTTGTATGGTGATTTTGAAATTTTATTTGATGGAAGGTATGACCTGAGATGGCTTTAATTACTCATCTGGTCAGAGGATGAAGGCAATAAAACTTAATATCGAAAAGAGGGCTCAGAAGGAGCCTGTCTAAAGTTTGGGTAAGAACAGTGACGGCTTGGTGAAGATTCCATTTGTTAAGGGCATGCAAAGAAATTTCATAATACTAAGCTTTGAATCTCTCACCTAAGTTGGTATAATCCTTAGTGTGTTAGAGAAAAGTAATTTATTTTTAGAAATTAAAACTACTTTAAAAAGAAACAAGAAAATACATTTAGAATATTTGAGAGGATACTTATTTAAGGGTTGGGGAAGACAAAGAAAAGAAGGTAGAGTGAATATATCTTGTTTTATTAATTTGTCTTTAGGACCCTATAAGCATGTTTAAAATTAAATGGAAGGAAAGTACCTTAAAAAAAGACGAAATGAAATAAATGAACCTTACCTCACTGTGTATCTGGTTGGTATGATAAAAATACAGAGCAGTGGCTTTTAAGAACACAGAAATTCATACATGCCTTGTGGGTAATATCCTTATTAATAATACTGGAGTGAAGCCATTATGTGTAAGGTATAATAAAGAGCAAATGCAGTAATAATTGTCTGTAGGAACCAAGATTTTTAGCATGGGAGACAAGGGATATATAAAAATCCAAGCTGCTTAGTAAAATCCCTGTAATCCTAAATTTGGAACTATCATTTTGATCTCATGATCCATTTCTATTTAGAAAATATGCTTATGTCCTAGCATTGTCCACCAAAAAGGCCCAGAACCACTAATCAACCTAATAGCAATCAATATCCTGGTGTCCAGATTATACTTCCTAAGTGTCATTTCCCACTAGAAGAACCAGAGTTGCTTGGAGAAATGGCTGATTTCAGGTTTAGACCAAGAAATGTACAGGATAAACCTGGGTCACCTTGTCATACCAGAAACCTAGGATGCTACAGTTGTGTTAAAGGATGCAGGAGCCAGTTTGAGCACCAATAAGAAGGGCAATTACAGTGGATCAAAGCCATTAAATTTGTTGAGATTCAATGGTTCATAATGATACTTTAAAAAAAAATCGTTAGAGGACAAGAGGGAAATCACTCTGAGGGAAAGTTAGTTGCCTGTGTACTGTTTGGCTGTTACTTTCCAATTCTTGTCTTTGGTTTGTTTTATTCTCTAGATCGCCCCAGTGGAAAACGACAATAGCTATGATGAACTGAAAAGAGATGCAAAGTTATGTTTATCACTAATGTCTCAGGGGTTGCTTTACCCTCATCAAGTGCCTTTGGTACTTCAGGTGCTAAAACAAGTAAGAGTGAATACCAAATATATCTTTTTGTTGGGATTTTGGCTTATTCTAAGAATTTCACTAAGTCATCTGTAGTGCACACAGTACCTGATACTTGTTTTCATTTTAATTTTTCTTTTAATATGAGTGAGTACATGTACTGACCCAAGAACCAGACCTAGATTTTGTACCAGGCTCTGTCACCAGCTTCTATGATCTTGGGCAGATCACTCAACCCCCAAATATTCTGTGTACATAGAGAGTTAATTATTGAAGCACCTTGAATACAAAGTGCTTAATGAGGGAAGGGAAGGTCATTTCCTTTTACCATTTCCCCCTTATGTTATTCACTTATATTTCCTAGCCTATGGTAGAAAGACCTAAGTGATTATGTATTTTCTGGTAGCATTTTTTAGTATACTCTGTGCTCAGCTTTATCCAGGGCAGCATGTGCTATATAATGTAAAAATGGACATGTCCCCATGGTTTTCAGATTTTTAACTTTAAATGACACCAAAAAATATTTTTAACAGCACAATATTTTGGTATTCTTTTTGTAGTGGAATTTAGTAGTTCTCAATCTTTTTTGCTTTCAATACCTTGCTACTATCAAAAGTAAAATAAAATAATATGCAACCTTTTGAGGAGTTAGTCATGAATTATAAATAATTAATTCTCCTAAAATGGATTTTTATCTGTGTACTAGAGGCCCGGTGCACGAAATTCGTGCCCAGGGGTGGTGGGTGTCCCTCAGCCCAGGCTGCACCCTCTCCAATCTGGGACCCCTCAAGGGATGTCCGACTGCCCGTTTAGGCTGGTTGCCCTCCCCTGTAGGCCTGGTCCCCCCAACTGCCCTTCCTTGCAGGCCTGGGTCTCCCCCAACTGCCCTCCCCTGCAGGCCTGGTTCCCCCAGCTGCCCTTCCCTGCAGGCCTGGGTCCCCCCCAACTATCCTCCCCTGCAGGCCTGGTCGCCCCCAACTGCCTTCCTCTGTCGGCCTGGTCACCCCCAACTGTCCTCTCCTGCAGGCCTGATCACCCCTAACTGCCCTCCTCTGCAGGCCTCAGTTCCCCCCAACTGCCCTCTCCTACTGGCCATCTTGTGTCCACATGGGGGTGGCCATCTTGTGTGTTGGAGTGATGATCAATTTGCATATTACCTCTTTATTATATAGGATTCCTCCCCTTTACTCTCCACTATTCATATATTCTGAATATCTTTACTGAAATAGCTTATACAACCTTTCATTTAGAAGGAACTATAAGATGAGGTTGCTGTAACTATCCGCATAAAATAGGTAGAATTATATTAGAAGATTTTATTTGTGTGTCATTTCTATGTCTGTCACCTCATGTTCTTGTCAGCACTATTTTCATTGTTTATACTTCTCATTCACAGACAGCAAGAAGCAGTTCTTGGCATGCTAGATACACAGTGCTGACCTACCTCCAGACCATGGTATTTTACAACCTCTTTATTTTCCTAAACAATGAAGATGCAGTTAAAGGTATCAGGTGGCTGGTCATAAGTCTTCTGGAGGATGAACAGCTGGAGGTAAAATTTAAGTTAAAGCAAATAGAAATTTAAGAAATTCAAAGAAAGCATCATGGCTCCCCTTTAAGTAGTATTTACACATTGCTGAGATGTATTCTATTAACACATTGTATGCAGGAAACGTATTTATGTTTTACTTATACGTTTTACGTTGACTGGTAGTAGAGCGCGGGACACGTATTAATACGTTTTTTATAGACTAGCGGTAGAATGCGGGTAACGTATAAATACGTAAACTAAAGTTATCGTAATTTTACTGAACGTTGCCATTTGCGCAAAAAATTAGCAAAAATGGCCCGCGCCACCTGTTAGCGCGCGGTAAAAACTACCCGCAAACAAAAAAGTATAAATCACTGAAAGTAACTTTAATTTTAGCGTAGCCCTCCTGGATTGGTTTGATATCCTCTTCATGATTTCCTGTAATACAAATGGAAACAAACATTAGGCAGTTCTTACCCTGGTTTCTGTTTGCAGTTGGGCAGGTAACATTTGTGAACCAAAATTTTCTTATCTATGAAATTGCTGGTGATAATACTCTATCTGTGTATCTTACTGATTTTTAAATGACTAATAGGAATGTATATGAAGGTAGTTTCAAGAGGATAAAAAGTTACACATAAATGTATTATCCTGTAAACTTAGGAAAGGATTGTTGTTCCCTTTAATTTTCTTTGGTAGAGGAATCAAAGGCAACTTTTGTGGTGTAATTAATATTTTGTACAATAAGATACATTAATTTGTTGAAATAGCCTAATATAAGAAAATCATGTTGTGATAAATGTGGAGTAAGATATAACTTTCTAAATTGGCTTTAGGTAAAGAAAATGCAATTGACATTTTTACTTTATTTTATGACTTAATGGGTTTTCCATGTAGAGAGCACTCCCATTAATGATATATTTTATTTTAGAACACTAAAAATAGATTGTATCTGTAGGAAACTGGGAGTGGAAATGTTTCCATTTCCCTGATGAGCCTGTTCATTTCCCAATCCAGCTTCCTGTGTTCTTTGAGCAGAATTGTCTAGTCCCCAGGGTACTCCCACCGTGGTGGTAACAACTCCGACAGGCTTCAGTGAAAGTATTTACAGTTACCTATAAAATTTTACAAACTTTTCCTTGTATTGTTTTTAACTAAAGAATGGAAATGGCAAGGTGGGAACTCTAAAGTCAGTGTTTACTAACTTTAAAGATTATAGCAATTGCATTAAAATTTACCGTTTTCTGGACCTTGTTTTAGAACATTTTTTTATTTTATATTTTCCTCCATGTAGTAGGCTTAAACGTAACTGTTACCATAAATATAACGATGACTTTTATTAAAACTATCATTTTTAAAAGTGATGTTGACTATCTAATCATTAAATACAGCTCTTATGATAATGTTGAAAACAATTTTGTAGTAACCTAAATGAGAAATGTTTAAAGAAAGCTTTGTAACATTTAAGCAGACTTATCAATAGGAAAATAATTTATAGAGAAATTTAATTTTGTATAAAATAGTTAAGCATTTACCTGAATGTAGTGGCTTTTTTCAATTTTGAGGCTACAGATCTTTTGACAATCTGATAAAATCTCTATTAAGAAGCTGCAAAAGAGCATTTACACAATTTGTACACAAATGCCAGGGAAAGTCCCCACCCCGGTTCCCATACCACCCTCCAGCCTCTGATGTTCCAGCAGGTTTGGGATCTTCGCTCTAATGCAAGTGATTATCTCTGCAGGTTCGAGAAATGGCTGCAACCACCTTAAGTGGTCTGTTACAGTGTAACTTCCTTACCATAGACAGTCCTATGCAGATTCATTTTGAACAACTTTGCAAAACAAAACTACCGAAGAAAAGAAAGCGAGACCCTGGTTTCGTAGGAGATACGATTCCTTCTGCAGGTAACAATACTGGTAGGAAACACACAGATTCTTTGGAGAATTAACCAGGCTTACTCAACAAACATTTATTGAATACTTGTATGTGCCCTGGGTCTGTGCTGGGTACTGGGAATAGTTGTCTCTGCTCTTGAGGAGCTTTGCATGTAAAAGCTGAGCCAAATCGCTACGGCTCTCTTTTTCTTAACTTCAACCCCCCTATCCACCATGTATACCATATAATATACTTACAAACACATAATACACACACACACATCTTTATTAAAATACTAGAGGCCCAGTGCACGAAATTCGTGCAAGAGTAGGCCTTCATTCCCCTGGCTGCTGGCACTGGCTTCCCTCTGGCACCCAGGACCCAGGCTTCCCTCACAGCCCTGGCTTTGTCCAGAAGGACTTCAGGTCTAATTAGCATATTACGCTTTTATTATTATAGATAATGGAAAGCACTTTAACTTCTATTGCTAAAGAAAGAATAGAGAGTCTGTAGTAAACAGACACATTGCAGTTCTTTTTGTTTTGTTTTTTAAAGAACAGTTTATTGCCCTGGTGAGGCTCAGCAGTTAGAGTGTCAGCCCACACACCCAAGGGTCAGGGGTTTGATTCCCCGTCAAGGACATGTACTTGGGTTTCAGGTTCCATCCCCACCCCAGTTGGTGTGCATGCAGGAGGCAACCAATTGGTGTGTCTCTCACATCAATGTTTCTCTCTGTCTTCCTCACCTCCCTCCCTCCCATTCTGTAAAAAATCAATGGAAAAAATATCCTCCGGTGAGGATTAATAACAACAAAAAAAATAGTGTACTGATTTTTAGAGAGAGAGAGAGAAACATTGATGTGAGAGCACAACATCGATCAGCTGCCTCCTGCATGCCCCCTACCAGAGATTGAGCCCACAGCCTGGGTTTATGCCCTGACTGGAATCCAGCCAGCAACGTCTCAGGCATGGGACAATGCCCAACCAACTGAGCCACACCAGCCAGGGCTTGCAGTTCTCTGTTGAGGGTGTTTACCTATGAATCGATGCATTCTGAAAAGTGCGGTCTAATTTTGATTGCAGTTTGTTTTAGCATCAGGGAATTACACTTTTGTATATAGTATAAATTGATTTTTAAAAAGCAATTATTTTGTTAGTTTTAGCAAATACAAGACACATTTGGATGTCTTTAGTTCGGCCTCAAACTCATGTTTTTCACGTGTGTGAATAAAGATTCATTTTAAACACACATTTACACATTGAAAATAACTAGCATAATCTAAAACTAATTATATTTCACTGTAAGGAGGGCAATAGAGTCCTATCAGTATTTGCACTTTACTGCTGTTGTCTTTGCAGAGTTGGTCAGACGCCATGCTGGGGTGCTAGGACTTGGTGCGTGTGTTCTTTCTAGTCCTTACGACGTTCCCACCTGGATGCCCCAGCTCCTTATGAATCTGAGTGCACATCTGAATGACCCTCAGCCTATAGAGGTAAAAGCTTTGTTGGTTTCTTTGCACACACATTATCAAGAGATGCTTTGTAAAACACCATTTATACTGATAATTCCCTACACATTCTGCACCTTATGCTTTCAAACAGCCACTACTACCGCTACAGGGTCAAGCCTGTTTATCAGTAATCATTAAAATCTTGCAGAGACCTTGCTTCCATGTGAATTTTTTATCCTTTGGTAGCAAGGGAATTACTGTAACTTCTGTCCTTCCCAGTCCAATGAAAGTAGTGTCAGTGTTGTCAGTATAAATGCTATCCTTCTATTTTACTAGCATGTTCTATGTAGGAACTGTCTAATTAGGAGCTAATGTTAAATAGGAAAGCCTGATGGTATTATTTAGTGAGCACCTATGGTCCTAAATTAAACAACTCAGAAGATGAATGACTTTGTCCTTTTCAACTTAGTAAATAGATGTTACATGTATATTGAAACTGGTTTACTGATGTGGTGCAAGTTCCAATAGCTTGTCCAAGTAATTCTAAAGCGAGCTTGGTGTCTTTGGGCTCATTGGTTCTGTAGCATTTGGTGAGCAGTGAGATCTGAAGTCTAGAGAGTTTGTTACTCAGCTGAAGGAATCCTAAATATAACGCTAGTGGTTCAGAGAGGTCAGAATAATATGTATGTGGGTTGCCCACTCGACAGATGACTGTAAAGAAGACCTTATCCAATTTCCGAAGGACGCACCATGACAACTGGCAGGAACACAAACAGCAGTTCACCGACGACCAGCTGCTTGTTCTCACCGATCTCCTGGTGTCACCATGCTACTATGCATAGGAGGGTAAGTCAGCAGGGCTCTGGGTTAAAGAAGTCTGTCATCCTCAGGGAAATGTCATTGGGTCACTGACTGAGAACTAGGTGCTCCTAAGTTTTTTCTTTTTTGCTGATATTCTTAGATATCATTGTTTAGATGAAGTTTTTTAAAAATGTCATTTAAGTAAGTTCCCAGAGAATTTTTCCTTGCATTTCTGCTTCAGTTATTAAGCAGACAAGTTATGTGACTGCTTTTAGATCTTTATAAATGAGTAGGCTTAGTAGTCTGGAAATGGTAGACAAAAATAATTTATTTTTTTAAATATATATTTTTATTGATTTTAAAGAGGGAGAGGGAGAGAGAGATAGAAACATCAAAGATGAGAGAGAATTATTGATCGGCTGCCTCCTGCTCACCCCACTCTGAGGATCAAGCCTGCAACCCAGGCACGTGCCCCAACTGGGAATCAAACTGTGACCTCCTGGTTCATAAGTCAAGGCTCAACCACTGAGCCACGCCAGCTGGGCCAAAAACAAAAAATGTATTCTTTGTAGCCTCTTAGTGGGGCCTGGGCATTTTGGGTTGCCGTGAGGGCTCTAGGTTCTATATTGTAGTGAGAACATTTTATCAGGATTCTTAAATATTTATTATCTATTCTTATTAAAGAGGGAGGACCCAGAAGCCTTTCTACTGGGATAGGAAGAATAAAGAAAAATTCACTTATTGGGCTTGACTGAAATTTTTTTCCTCTCTGATACAGGTGAGTAGTCCTCACTTCAAGCTCTTTTCATCAAAAATTCCAGATCCTCAGGTACCATCTGTGGTGGCTCGCTGCTGGTTTTAACTCTCTGCCTTTGTCGAGCTCTCATCATTTTGGTGGTCTCTGTTTAGTCTCATTAGTCTGCGTTCCACAGGTTCTCAGCTGCCATTTGATTTCCTAACTTATCCGGAACTGTTTCCAGAATATTGATCACTTTTTCTTTGAGGCATCTGACAAAACCACAGTGTCTCAGACTAGAAATAATTACCCAATATGATCATGGCATCCAAGACCAGACTGAGTCTAGGAACTCATTAAGAAACAGTTTACTTGGAATGGAGAATGCCCATCTGTAAAACAGGTCCTCTCATTTCATTCATCTCAAATTATTTTGAATTCTTCCCAAATGGCTGTTGGGTTTAGATGGGAGTAGGGCTGTGGGCCATAAATCTGAAGCTTGGAGAGCCAGGAAGATGGAAGGAAGAGAGGACAGGTCTGGAACCAGCCAAGGACCTGATGGATTGCTTGACAAGACACAAAAGTGAAGCCGGTGTCCACCACGCGCCTCCCACAGACTGGAGTTTCTGGTGCTGAAGAGAAGAGTAACTGTGGGAAAACTGGGGGTTTGGTGAATACATTTTTGATGGATTGTTGTGTGTGTATACAATGTATGATTTTGAAAATAAACATCAACAACAATAAACACCCTGACTGGTTGATTTACCTGTATTCTTTACAAATATTGTTTGACCCACTTTTAAAACTGTTATATTTCACCTAATAGAAGATTGCTGTGTTTGCAAAAATTCTGTAATTTCTTTCTGATTTTTTTTTTTTTTTTGCCTGCAGAATCGTTGAGAGACTAAGAAGTCTTGATATTTAATTGCCTTGTTTAATAAATGTTATATAGATGTAAAGGACTGTATAAATTGTAGGGATAGCTTTGGCAAGACTTTGTACAGATGCAACCTTTTACACAACACCATTGTGTAATTAATTTGTAAAATTCACATGTAGCTCTTTATTATAGTGATTTTGGCTTTTGTATCAAATTGAATGCCATTTTTTTGCATTTTTAAATTATTTTCATGTTAACAAAAGCTGAGGTGTGGGGTTTTGTTTGAGTTCATTAATGTTAGAATGTCTGAATTTTTATGTAACTTTTTTGTGTGCATCTCAATGCAAACGCCACGTTTGCCTTTGACAAGTTTATAGAATGCAAGGTATCTTCTAGACAAAGAAAAGAGTAATTCACAAGTTTGTGAATGTCATCTTGCAACACACTTGTACAGTCTTCCTTAAAGGAACACTACAGTATATTTTTTAGAATCTACTTGATGAATGACTCAATGCAGACCTAAGCACAGCAGAGGTCCTGGTACAGATCAGCACACACAGGCATAGTCCCTGTATAGAGTAGTGCCAAACTGATTATTTCATTGTGTACCTAGTTTAAAACCCAATAAATGAATTGTTTTTAACACCTGGCTTTTGTCTTCATTAAGTGGACAGAACAGTTCTGTAGGCAGTGACTCTATATGATTCCTTTGGATGCATAGATCTCAATCCATAAATTCATGCCCCCTGACCAAAATGAGTTATCTAGGTTGGACCTGTCCACTAGAGTAGCTAATAGCTACATGTGGCTATTTACTTAAAAATTAAATTAAAAATTCATTTCCTCAGTCTCACTAGACTAGCCGTGGGCAAACTACGGCCCGTGGGCCAGATCCGGCCCGTTTGAAATGAATAAAACTAAAAAAAAAAAAAAAAAGACCGTACCCTTTTATATAATGATGTTTACTTTGAATTTATATTAGTTCACACAAACACTCCATCCATGCTTTTGTTCCGGCCCTTCGGTCCAGTTTAAGAACCCATTGTGGCCCTCAAGTCAAAAAGTTTGCCCACCCCTGCACTAGACCCATTTCAAGTGCTTATTAGCCACTTGTGGCTAGTGGTTTGCCCTATTGAGTAGCACAGATCAATGTTTTCATCAGAAAGTCCTATTGGGCAGCTGATCTAGATGATTGATATGTCTAAGAACCCCAGGGATTTTGTTAAAATATGAATTTTAATTCAGGCTCCCATCTCATGATATTGATGCTTTGTCCTGAGACCACACCTTGAGTAGTGAGGCGTCCTATTAACCACTTCGACTTTTTCTAAGCTATACGAAACTATGTCTTAGCAACGTTTCTGCAGTGGAACTTTAAAAAAATATGATACTGAATCCACTGTGTTCCTCTATCAGAGTTTCTCTGGTTAGGACTCACCCCCAAGATCTTCTTAAAGCTCCATAATGCTTCATTTGTGCAGCCAGGATTGAGAACCACTGGTGAAGTGTTAAGGTAGGTTTCCAGAAAGGAGAGGGGGGGGGCGGGGGGAGAGGTGAGGAGAAAGCCAGCATCTTTGAGGTAAGAGGTAATAATCTTTAATTTCTGAATTGGATCTTTTA